ACAAACAGTTTCTTTTTTCAAATTATTTAGAACTTCAGTGAGATCTGGTTGTAGTTGGCTTGATTTTGATGAGTTTTTCATCCTAACTTGATTTGGTTGATATATATGGACACACACACATGTGTATATATATATATATCTAACTGTATACCCTGGAATGAACACAGAGGGGACAAAGCTTTTTGCAGTGTGGAGTGCAGGTGCAGGCAAATGTTCATGGACGAAGAAGAGACGTTCAAGACTAAGAATAAGAGAGAAAACTGCTCATTGGCCGCCATGAAACCACCACCCACCTCATCATCATCTTCTTCACCTTCTCCATCTCCTTCTTCTTCACGTAGTCGCAGGGGGGCCAGAAAAGGTGGAAATGGGTTTGCGTGCTGAGTTTAGTTTGGAGAATCTTTTCCAGCTTTGCCCTTCTCATATTTTGTAATGACTTTGATGTCCTTTTCTTTTTCTTTTTGTTTCCTGGTATGAAGGCAGTAGCTTTCATTACAGCCCATGGATTGTGTCCCGTTGTCAGGAAACCATTGGTTTTGGCCTTTAAAACTGCGGGCTGTGTCAGTTGAAGGGTATTTTTGGTACTCACCCATTCAGTTGTGAAATGGAAAAGTTTGATTAGAGTCCGGATTAGACTTTGATTTTCTGACATTATTTTTTAAATAATTAATTTAAATTTAATTGATGGACTTAATCTATATTTGATTCAATCACCTATAGTAATCAAACGGTCCACTATTTTTTGGAACTAGTTACTAATTTAATAATTATGATGAACTAAGTTGATAAATTATATTATTAAATTAAATTTAAATAATATTAGCATTTTTGGATACTTTACTTGTTTATATAATTAAAATGGGATACATAGAAAGTCATCTGATCATATTATTTTAAAAAAAATTTATTATATTTGTTATTAACAACTCAAATTAAAATCTTCAATTAAGACTAATTTGTCAATATAATATTAAAAAAACTATTTGTCTGCACCACCTCCACTTGAAACAGAAATCATGGCTGAATAACTAGTACTTAAATCTCTCTGATGGATTGGGAATAAGTATTTTTTAATTCCCATGTTAAGTATTTTTTTTAACCTTTAATAAGAAATTAACTCATCCATATTTAAGAAAATGATATGGAGACTCCCTTGTCAAAGTTTTCACTAATGAAATAATCGTTTTTTGNTTAATTTCCATCAATCAAACCTTGCCATAGCCACCACCTCCACCAGAGAGACAGAGGGTTGGTGAGGAAAAGACTATGAGATGGTGGGACTGAGTGTAGTGCTTGAAGCCCAAAATTTTAATGGCAAACTAACTCCACAAGTTATCAATAAAGCCACTATGATCAAACCCTCTTCTCCTAGTGCTCCTCCCTCTCCCTCCACATCTTGCCGAAATAATTTTCCGGCAACTAGCTTTCTTGACCATTGTTTTCTCTGCAAACAGAAACTCTTGCCTGGCAAAGACATCTACATGTACAAGTAAGCATATCTCTCAAAACCACATCTTCCTTTTCCTCTCTCTCTCTAAATACCAGATCCTACTTAACTGGTTCATACCATCGTCAAACCTTCCCTGCAACTATTTTTGCTGTACACAATAATATATTCAACAGACAAACAGTTTCTTTTTTCAAATTATTTAGAACTTCAGTGAGATCTGGTTGTAGTTGGCTTGATTTTGATGAGTTTTTCATCCNGGATTGGGAATAAGTATTTTTTAATTCCCATGTTAAGTATTTTTTTTAACCTTTAATAAGAAATTAACTCATCCATATTTAAGAAAATGATATGGAGACTCCCTTGTCAAAGTTTTCACTAATGAAATAATCGTTTTTTTGGGTGGGTAAAACAATCATTTTACGGTTAATGTGATTTCTGTCACGTCTGAAATGGTCCTTTCACCCTTAATGTTTTTCTGATAATAACTCAAAGTTTGAAGTTCAAAGAGTTTTAAGTTTAAAGAGGTGAGGAAATATCCATACAATTTACCTTGTATGGAATTGTTTTTTTCAAATATTGTGCACATGATGGAGATATTTGTAGTGAAGAACATGCTGGTTTTCTTTCAAAAACACTAGGAAATGAACAACCGCAAAACTGTTAACTTATTGAAGATCTGAGCTTTCACAATTATGGAAGTTGGCAAGAGTATCTGGCAATTGAGGAAACCCATACTAGGAAGCTCCCATTTAGGTCAGCATTCCAAAGGGACTATAATATCCTTAAATTCATTGGGCTCCACTAATAAATTATCGGGAGAATTAAGAGTAATACTATTTGAACTTAAATTGTTGACATAATGATGTGATTTTATAAGAATCATTGGATCAATACCAAATTCTAATGTTTGATAAGGTTCATAGTGAATCCAAAAGTCAAAATAAATTAGATTAATAAATTATGTCAATAAATTAAGTTCTAATAGTATTGCTCGAGAATTAATCATGAACAACTACTTCAACAATAATAGAAGCTTAAAAAATTGACATAATTTATTGAAATAAAAATGTGCATAATTTATTGAAATAAAAATGTGACATTTATTTACATAAAGATGTGACAATGAACTTATTTAGAGCTAACTAAAAATCTCAATTTTTTTAGTTTAATTTTAAATGAAAAAAAGTCTGATATATTTAGACCCAAGTCTATTGGGTGACGTTTCGATCAACTTTGTTAGCAATAAAAAGCTGAAAAAAAATTAGTTTATCCAAGAACTTCCAAGGAAAAATCAATTTTTTCACACTTCAAACTCTTTTAAGAGCTTTTTTAACTCGAATTTTTTAATTTTACTTTTCAAGCCATTGTTCCGCACTAAGAAAAGTCAACTATAAACGGAATNCCAAGGAAAAATCAATTTTTTCACACTTCAAACTCTTTTAAGAGCTTTTTTAACTCTAATTTTTTAATTTTACTTTTCAAGCCATTGTTCCGCACTAAGAAAAGTCAACTATAAACGGAATATAACTATAACTCTTGGACTTTATCATTTGATTTCCTCATTAGACACATCATTATATCAATAAATTAGATCAATTTATTAACTCTCACTAGCATTACTTCTAGTACAACTCCACAAACCTAAAATTGAAAGATACAAGTATATGTGTTACTGGATGTGCATGATTTGCACGAGAGAGAGAGAGAGAGAGAGAGAGAGAAAATGTGGTGAAAATTTGAACACATAAAACCAGCCATGCAAAGAAAATGCTAAAAAATAAAAGGGAGGACGATGCCATTGTAGTTATTCTAAATGAAAATGGAGAGGTTCCAAATCAAACATGGAAATTCGGGGCACAGTCGAAAGTGAAAAGCACTGNATTTGAACACATAAAACCAGCCATGCAAAGAAAATGCTAAAAAATAAAAGGGAGGATGATGCCATTGTAGTTATTCTAAATGAAAATGGAGAGGTTCCAAATCAAACATGGAAATTCGGGGCACAGTCGAAAGTGAAAAGCACGGGAGAGAGGGCATTAGAATCTGTAAGGACGAGGGAACCTTACTAGTTGGAATCATTCGTGTTTGCCACTTTTAGGGGTCTTTATGCACCCCCTCGCGTCCACAACATACGCCATCTTGCAAAGGAACAATTCAAGTTTATTGAAATCGTTTTTTAAATAAGTCTNGCATTCCAAAGGGACTATAATATCCTTAAATTCATTGGGCTCCACTAATAAATTATTGGGAGAATTAAGAGTAATACTATATGAACTTAAATTGTTGACATAATGATGTGATTTTATAAGAATCATTGGATCAATACCAAATTCTAATGTTTGATAAGGTTCATAGTGAATCCAAAAGTCAAAATAAATTAGATTAATAAATTATGTCAATAAATTAAGTTCTAATAGTATTGCTCGAGAATTAATCATGAACAACTACTTCAACAATAATAGAAGCTTAAAAAATTGACATAATTTATTGAAATAAAAATGTGCATAATTTATTGAAATAAAAATGTGACATTTATTTACATAAAGATGTGACAATGAACTTATTTAGAGCTAACTAAAAATCTCAATTTTTTTAGTTTAATTTTAAATGAAAAAAAGTCTGATATATTTAGACCCAAGTCTATTGGGTGACGTTTCGATCAACTTTGTTAGCAATAAAAAGCTGAAAAAAAATTAGTTTATCCAAGAACTTCCAAGGAAAAATCAATTTTTTCACACTTCAAACTCTTTTAAGAGCTTTTTTAACTCGAATTTTTTAATTTTACTTTTCAAGCCATTGTTCCGCACTAAGAAAAGTCAACTATAAACGGAATATAACTATAACTCTTGGACTTTATCATTTGATTTCCTCATTAGACACATCATTATATCAATAAATTAGATCAATTTATTAACTCTCACTAGCATTACTTCTACTACAACTCCACAAACCTAAAATTGAAAGATACAAGTATGTGTTACTGGATGTGCATGATTTGCACGAGAGAGAGAGAGAGAGAGAGAGAGAGAAAATGTGGTGAAAATTTGAACACATAAAACCAGCCATGCAAAGAAAATGCTAAAAAATAAAAGGGAGGACGATGCCATTGTAGTTATTCTAAATGAAAATGGAGAGGTTCCAAATCAAACATGGAAATTCGGGGCACAGTCGAAAGTGAAAAGCACGGGAGAGAGGGCATTAGAATCTGTAAGGACGAGGGAACCTTACTAGTTGGAATCATTCGTGTTTGCCACTTTTAGGGGTCTTTATGCACCCCCTCGCGTCCACAACATACGCCATCTTGCAAAGAAACAATTCGCTAATTTCGGTCCATCTCTGTCTTTACCCGGTCCATGCTGCGAGTGCAATTTCCAAAAAGTTTGGGTTGTTGCCCTCGATTTCTAATTGCTCTGAATCATATGATCAGTAGCAGCATAACAGTATCAACCCAAAGGAGCCACACGGTTCTCATCGTGCAGCTACTTTTTGGGCTTGTGGGAATTTCGACCAAACTTCAAATAATCCGGATGTTTCAAAATGCATACAACTTCAACTTGATATCAAATTCCCTTCAAGACTAAGATCGACAGGCAAATACATTCAGTACCAGAAGACAAGGGGCTTGGAGAGGCACCGTGCAACAACTAAGAAATTTACCCTTAAATAATGTATCTATCAGGTTTAGGCCTGATATTCGAGGCCGGATTTTATTTTGGCAATCATAAAAAATGGAAAACCATTGAAGTAACCAAATCCAAAGGCTACTAATACACTATTTAGGAGTATAGTTATTTTGCTTATATACAATTAGCTAATCACTAGAAATTTCTCAGCTTGTTATGGGAGCTCATAGTTTCCCGGGAGTGATGAGCAACCATGGTTTGGAAAAAACCCATCAAGTATGCCTCTCTCATCTGGCAGTCATTTGATCAAG